CCTTAGAGAATATTGATTCTGATCTTGGCCCATTTCCTTGGTTCCATAAACTGTAGAACTGGTGGGTGGTACATCTAATAAATCTGAATCATATTTCAAGATACTTGTATTTTTTGACTCTTGAGTCCTGTAATTCTGGTAATAGTGAAATGGAAATAAAAAAATGGAATAGAAATGAAAAAAGCAGGGACCTGCAAGGACTTGTGTGTGTGTGTGTGGGGGGGGAATCTCACCCCCCCATACATACATTCTTTGCTCTTTCCTTTTCCTGAAAGTCCCTATAGTCTCTCGCTTTTTCCTGCCTCCTCTCATTTTGTTTTTTGTTGTTTTTGTTGTTGTTGTTGTTCAGTTGCACAGTCGAGTCTGACTCTTTGTGACTCCATGGACAATATCACGCCAGGTCCTCCTGTCCTCCATCGTCTTCTGGAGTTTGCTCAACTTCATGTCTGTTGCATCGATAACACTGTCTAACCATCTCCTCCTTTGTCGTCCCCTTCTTCTTTTCCCTTCCATCTTTCCCAGCATCAGGGTCTTTTCCAGTGAGTGCTCCCTTCTCATTTGGTGGCCAAAGTATTTGAGCTTCAGTTTCATTATCTGGCCTTCCAGGGAACAGTCAGAGTTGATTTCTTTTAGGATTGACTGATTTGATCTCCTTGCAGTCCAAGGGACTCTCAAGAGTCTTCTCCAGCACCATAATTCAAAAGCATCTATTCTTCGGTGCTCGGTCTTCCTTATGGTCCAACTCTCGCAGCCATACATTACTACTGGGAATACCATTGCTTTGACCATACAGACTTTTGTTGGCAGGGTGATGGCTCTACTTTTTATTATGATGTCTAGGTTTGCTATAGCTTTCCTCCCAAGAAACAAGCGTCTTTTAATTTCATGGCTTCAGTCACCGTCTGCAGTTTTACTTCCTTCCCTACCTCTAGTAGCCTCTACCTGGGAAAAGCCTTGCCAAGTTGCTCAGTGCCCAGTTGCGTGGTAGGGATTAAGGAACCTGCAAGGACTTGTGTAATGTGTAGGGCACTTCTTTCCCCCCCATGTCTCCCTCCCCACACTGTTTCCCTTCTCCTTTCTCCTGGCAACCCCTGGCAACTAATCTTTCCCTGATTTCTTCTCACCCACCAACCAGCCTATCTTTTATCTGCCTCCCCCCATTCATTATTCATTCTTTATGTACTTCATTTATACCCCACCTTTTTCCACATCGGGGACCCGAAGCAGCATACATCATTCTCCTCTCCTCTATTTTATCCTTACAAAAATCCTGTGAGGTAGATTAAGCTGAGTGAGTGTGACTGGCCCAAGGTAACCAGCAAGCTTCCATGGCAGAGTAGGAATTTGTAGCCTGGTCCCCCACATCCTAGTCTGGTATAGGATTTAGGCAGAACAGACTTCTAGGCTCACGTCTACTTTGTTTAAGGCATTTGTGTTTTTGTGGGGTTCTTTCACTTAATAAACCAAATCAAGATAAAGAGCCCTTTGTCTGTGTATGCGTGGAAAGGAATTAGCAGGCGGATCCAACGGTGCTTGTCCTGCAGGCTTTCTTCCTCATTTCTCTTGTTAAAAAGTACTCGCCAGCTAGACTTATAAAGTATACCCTGGGTTTCTAGGGTGACTAATTATAAATTATAATTATTATGGTCATGGCAGTGATATTCTTATGTCTAGGTTAAGAGCTAGAGAGGGCTCATGATGACAGATAGCTTGTCATAGTTGTTTATTTCAGCAGTGAAGGATGCTCACACTTAGGCTCAGTGCCACTTAAAACCAACATCAAGCAGGTTGTGAGCTCAAACCCAGAGCCAGTTTGGTGTAGTGGTTAAGTGCGCAGACTCTAATCTGGGAGAACCGGGTTTGATTCCCCACTCCTCCACTTGCACCTGCTGATGTGACCTTGGGTCAGTCATAGTTCTGACAAGAGCTGTTCTTGAAGAAGAGCAGTTTGTGTCGGAGCTCTCTCAGCCCCACCCACCTCACAGGGTGTCTGTTGTGGGGAGGGGAAGAGAAAGGAGATTGTAAGCCGCTCTGAGACTCCTTTGGGTAGTGAAGGGCGAGGTATAAATCCAGTCTCTTCTCTCTTCTTCTTCTTATTGCTATGCGAGCTTGCTTGGTTCCTGCACAGACAATTATGATTAGAAACTTAACTCCAATTACCCATGCTGCACGAATGCAGGTGCTAAGGTTAACCAGTGTTAATTGCCCATGCGTAGACAAACTGGGATTCTGAACCAGGCTTAGAGTCCCTGTTAGTGCAGCAAAATAACTCAGATAAGGCCTGGGCATTTGTGTTCATAGTTCACTAGAAACCAGTGTTCCCTTCTAACCAGGAAGAAGAGTCAGGCACACAAGCAAAACAACAGGCTGGGTCTGGGCACATTCCAGCTTTATATCAGCCAGGGTGGTGTAGTGGTTGGAGACCCGGGTTCAATTCCCCGTTCTGCCATGGGACATTGCTGGGTGCTCTTGGGCCAGTCACACACTCTTAGCCTCAACTACAGGGTTGTTGTGAAGGTAAAAGGAAGAGAGCTGCTTTAGGTCCCCTTGGGGATAAATGTGGGGTACAAATGAATAAAAATAAATGAAGTAAAATTGTTACATCTGAATGCAGTCAGCATGCAGGATACACTGGTTGCTGGTTTATTTCAATGGTGTCTTTCTCAGTGATAGACAATGTCCACTAATACTGGCTCCAAGAGCATGATTAGAGATTGGGTCTTTCATAGAATAGTCTAGCATTTGTGCAATTCACAGGTTCCTTGCTTTTTTAAAATAATAATAATAATAACAGAAAACAATTCAAAAACAAATACATGTAGTGATGTTGTGCTTGTCTACTTTGAATGGCATGGGGCTTTGCAGTTGAGAACCAAGTTAATTATATTGGTAATACTATAACTATTTCTTGGCTTGGTTGCGGTGAACAAGTTCCATGTGTGCTAGACAGTCTCTGCTGCAGAGCACATTTCCTCTTCTCCTAAACATTCTGTTTGCATGACGGTTTCCAATGAGCCCTTGTGCAAATGGAAGTGTTAGTGGAAAAAGAAGCACACTTTGCAACTGAGAGTGTCTTGTGCACATGGAACTCATTCATAGGATCCGTGCCTAAATGTTTTGCTTCAGTATTAGTTAATTGAATAAATGTATATTTCAGGTGAAGCCCTTAATTTATCAACTGGTAGATTAATAAATTAAGCTGTTGACATATTTAAAACAGATACGTTAGCTCATCAACTACAGTGGGTAAAGTACCACATCCTGCTATACAGCGATGGAGGGGATGGAGTCCTTTGCCTGATAATGCTTCTAGATCTTGAGTCTTCAGTACCTTTCTTCTGTGTAGCCGTGAGCTTGGGTAGCAAACGCAGAGGCTTGGTTCGGATAGAACATCAAACCATGATTTAGTGTAACTAAGCCTTATTCTTTATATTCTTTATTCCACTGCTGGATCTCTTGATGGCACCTGGTATTTTTGGCCACTGTGTGACAGAGCATTGGACTGGACAGGCCATTGGCCTGATCCAACATTGGCTTCTCTTATGTTCTTATATTCTCTAATTCAATTAGTGATTTTCTGCTTTTGTGCAAACTATAGTTTCTTGTTGCTAGCAACCTGTCTCACTATATTTGCCTTCCGAACCAGGATTGCACACCATGTCATGAAGCTGGTTTTCCAGTGTTTTGAAGGGTAAATGTAAGACATAGCTTGTTCAGTTCAAATGTAACTATGAACTAATTAGTGCTAAAAGAAAGAAAATGGAATCAGTTGAATCCCAGTATACAATGAACAGGGAGAAGCATGTGTGTGTGCAAGATGTAATTTATTATCGATAATTTATGGTATTTATTGGATTTTATTGTTGCAAGCTGCCTTGGAAACCTTATTATGAAACAGCATTAAAAAGGTTTAAAATAAATAAACAACTGTTCACATAGCAACAAACCAGGATTTGGTCTTGTGCCTGAATCAGCCTCAGTTTGTGCTGCATACTTTATTCCCTAAATGGGTAAAACAGAATTTTGCCTCAGTGTCTGTTAAATATTCCTTTTTCTAATCTGGAAGACACATTTAAGAAGATTTGGATCCCTCAAAAGGAAAAGGCTTTAGGGTATTTAATCAATTGAAACTCTTACCTTCAGAAAATGACCTCAAAATGTTACCCATATTGATATGATAATACTTGGAGTGCAATTCAGTGCAGAGTTACTTCCTCTTAATTGCATCAATTGCACTGTTAATTATTTAAATTGTGTGAGACTAAACTTTAATAGTATCCCCCACTCTATTCACCAGGCACTTACTTGGGGACTGGAGCTGTCCAGCTTCCTCACAGATTATCTGTTTTCAGAATCTAGTTGGCACTGCCAATCAGCAATGCATTTACAAGATTCTTGAGTCTGTGCAGATGGATGTTAGGAGGCCATCGATTGGTGGAGGGGAAGGTGGCAGGTAGTACCAAAAGGACAAAAGCAGATTGGTATAAAGTAGCTTCCCATTTCAGAATATACATGAGCTACAATACTGTACTGTGTCACGTATGCAAAACATAGAGTATCATAGACTATCTTAAAAAAACACCTGTGAGCGTTTTTTTAATTGGGTTCTTAATCCATGCTTGGGATACACAGATAAAATTGCTTTTTGGAGGCTGAATCTAGCCAATAGGTCACCAGATGGGAACATCTAATTTTAGGACATAATGAAGAGAAAGTGAGGAATGCCTAAACTGTGTTAATTTTGGTAGGGATTAGGTGTGCCTAACTTTTTCTCTATTGTACACCTAATAAACTTTTTTTTTAAAAAAAGCCCCTAAACCATTGATAGCTGTACTCTTTACAGATGATAGGGAAGGAAGAGAAAGCACAATATAGTTAGTTACTGTAAATCTTTACTCCTCGCCAACTCTATAAGGAACCCAGTATTGATTAAACAGTCTTATGATTCACAAAATGCAGGGACTGTGTCATTAGTGTATTGTTGTGTCCTTTTCTTCCAGGTTACTCAATACTTCAAGCTATTATGGAAACAGCAGGAGAAAAGAGCTGGCAAGTCAGCGCCATATGCGTGGAGAATTTTAATGATGCAAGCTACAGGCAGCTTTTAGAAGACTTGGACCGAAGACAGGAGAAGAAATTTGTAATAGATTGTGAAATAGAGAGGCTTCAGAATCTCTTAGAACAGGTAATACCTGCCTTTTAATGTGACTGTAAACACATTAGTAGGGCCCTCAAAGAGTGGCCTCTCTCCCTCTGCCTTTCATGTGCATTGCCAGTCAAGGCTGGGTGTATTTCATCTTTCCCCCTCTCTTCACCCTTTTATACATACTCCGATATTCAGTCTCCACTTATGACTCCATCTGCATATCAATGTGAAAATTCCCATCAAGTGGCCTGCAGGCCTGGTATGGCAAACTGCCCTGGAGGCAGCAGGTAATGCTCACGTCTAAAAACAAACAAGGACCCCGGTCACACGGGCAGGAAACTGCAGAGGAGAAGCGTGGCTGTTTGCCCTGGGGCAAACTACTGCGCAGTTACGTGATCAGACCTCCTGTGGAGGTCCTGTGGAGGTACCGTGGAGGTTCCATGGCAAGGGAGAGGTGCCGATCACAGGACAAGCCGGCGCACAACGAAGAAGCATGCGCCGCAGCAAACTGTTTTTTATTTTTGTGTACATGACAAATGCGCATGCTCAGTTGGGTTCGCATGCGCATCCACAGAGACTTGGACAAAAAAAACCCACCTTATTTGCAAGGGGACATGGGCGGGTGCCAGATGCCACCGGAAACGCGATCAGACGCCCGCCCTTGCCGCGCAGTTTCCGGAAACTAGTACCTCCAAGGTACTAGTTTTTTGCCACGCAGTTTCGGCTGGAAGCCTCAGTTGAGCCACGGGAGTGCTACGCTTCCCAGATGTGCTGGTGAGATCGCGCCCGGAAACTCCATTTGTTTTCCGTCTCACTTGTGTGGCTTCTGTTACGTGTGACCGCAGCCAAGATATGGCAAAAGAAAATTCATTTGTGTAAATCTAAGGGTGCGGTCACACACACTAAATAATCCACTTTCAATCCACTTTCAGTGCACTTTCCAACGGGTTTTTTACTGTGTGAATTGGGAAAATCCAGTCTACCCCAGTTAGATGTATAGCAGGGGGGGGGTTCCCCTAGGTTTTAGTCTAGGCAGGAGCCCTGGCTCAGGGGCAGATCATCTGCTTTGCATGCAGAAGGTTCCAGGCTCAATCCCTGGATTGGGTAGTAGGTGAAGTGAAAGTTTTATTTCTTTATTTACTTATATGGAAAATTTCTATGCTACCTATCCAGGGAACCGTCCTGGGAACATAAGAACATAAGAGAAGTCATGCTGGATCAGGCCCATGGCCCATCCTGTCTAACACTCTGTGTCACACAGTGGCCAAAACCCAGGTGTTATCAGGAGGTCCACCAGCAGTGCTGGAGGTGGCTTACTAACTAAAATAATAAAACATCATACATAACAGAAACATGAAACACCCTAAGTTTATCAATTAAAGCCTAGCATTAAAAAAACACTAGTATTTTGTAGCTGAATTGTCCCTGTATCTATCACAGACCTGGAAGGACAAAGAAGAAAAAAGGGGAAAAGACTGAACCTAAACCTAGAATTCAGAACCTAAAAAGGTTAGTCAAGAATAGAAGAGGGCCAACTCTAAAAATCTAATTATGAAACATACAAAAATATACATGTATTTATTCAACATAAATTAAAATAACAAACAAGGGCCCATTCCTAATTCATATACAAATATAAAAACATACAAGGGCTAATAAGATAGACCTAACGCGTTTCGGCCTTTACAGGCCTTCCTCAGAGGTCTAATACAGACAGAACATGATGGCTGATATGCAAAAATACATACAATCGTACATATATGGAATAAAGACCAGAAACCAATTGTTCCAAAGTTTAACCACTGGGCAAAGAAAAGAAATACAAAAATACAAATGAAGCTTCCAGTGTAATCACATGTCCAGTAGTACTTCTCTCTGGTCAACTGTATATTCTCTGAGATTGTACTGCCAAATGTTCGCAATAAAATGTTCCTTAGGTTAAAAGCAGTGTTGATCAAAAAGGTGTTGGGCCTATATAGTAGATTCAGGATTTAAAAAAACACTTTTTGTAGCTGAATTGTCCCTGTATCTATCACAGACCTCCCTGTAAGATCTCCCCCCCTCCCAACTGCTTTATCTCCCATCCAAGCTGCCTTTTGGTACAGGAGCACAGCTGAGGAGAAATGTGCCTGATGGGGATGGGCTATAGAGAGGTGAGCTGTCAGCTAAGGCTCCAGTTCTATCCTGGTTTTATTAGACTTTATTCCCTAATGTCTACAAATATTATGTTGCCCTTCTCATTCCTAAAATATTCCACTTGTTTAGTATTTCCTCTTTCTGCATATCTGTAGACTTTTCTGTATGTGAACACACAAAGCTGCTTTGTATTGCGTCAAATCATTGGTCTGTCGAGGTCAGTATTATCTACTCTGATTGCTGGTGGCTCTTCAGGGTCTTAGGTCTTTCACATCACCTGCTATCCCATCCTTTTAACTGGTAATGCTGACAATTGAAATTAGGACCTTTTGCATATAATGCAGATGTTCTATCTCTGTGCCACAACCCTACCTCATGAAGGAAATTGGTTGCCCATAATAATGTTACATTGGGAATTTATTTTCATCCTTAGTATCCACATGCATGAGATGGATTGACTCAGTAAAGGAAGCCACAGCCCTCAGTTTGCAAGACCTGAGCAAGGCTGTTATCAGTAGGACATTTTGGAGGTCATTAATACATTGTGTTGCCTTAAGTTGAAAACGACCTGACAGCAAACACAGGGTGTGATCACATGCACAATTAGCTGCGCCATAGGCACAAATGCTGGGCGGATTTAAAGGGTGCGATCAGACACGAACATCTGGGAAGCGCCCCACATCCGTCGGCAACCCATTTTGCTCCGCTGCAGAAGCGGAGTAAAAAGACACCGGGGAAAGTCCGGTAGCAAACGGGTTGCTACAGGCCTTGGACGGACTTTCCCCTGTCTGATCGCTCCAGCGCACTCTCAGGATGGTCTGATCAGGCTATCCTGACTCCATGCTGTTGGTTTCTCAGTATGCGCATCATCGCACACTCCATAGGGAGCCCTCAGTGCTGAGATGTGATTCATCGATTCCCCGTTTAAGTGAATTGGAAACAAACAGCAAAAAAACCCACCCTGACTCACCCATGGTTGCATCTGATCACACAGTGGCAGGCTGCCCCCGCAGCTTCAAAGGACTGTGTGATGGCACAACTGCAGGTCAAATTCTTCCGGAGGGAATAGCCTCGCTTCCCCCCCAGTTTATCTCATGCGTGTGACCGCACCCATATACACCTATATTAAGCAGACTGCACATGTACATTAGTTATCCAAGGCTTATAAAAAATTGGGCTTGTTCACACAAACATGTTCATCATTTGATAACTGCAAGATCAAGTTAGCTTTCATATCTCATCACACGTCCACAAAGAAAATGCTTTTCAGCAATCAGCTCACATTCTGCTTCCAGTCGATAACTATACACCATATAGAAATCCAATGTTATGTATGAATGTGTGAACCAGGTCCAAAGTGCAGGCCTAACTATGTTCAGGAATCCATTGAAATTGTTCACGGCCAGCCTAAATCCTGTGTATCCACTCCTCATTCACTGGAAAAGTCTGTGTGTTTTTTCCCCCCAAAGAATCTAATGGTTATACGAATCTTGAAGCATAATTTGCAGAAGCATTTGTGAATTGCAGCGAAGGAATGCCACCTAGTGGTGCTCCACGCTATTTTATTATGCTGCCGATTCGCTAAAAAGTTTTTTGCAAAGGACATGCTTGAGATCTTCAATAATATTTCATGCATAAAAACTTATGGCATTGTGGGTCTGAAGCTGCAGGGGTGCAAAGTACACAAAAATGCCTTCCATAAACCATACTGAATTCCATTATAGCTTTTGAAGAAAACCCAACATAGGAAGAAACTGAGAATTAATGACATGGCCATTTCCCAATGTAGCAAAAGTTATTTCTGCAGCCATTGCTGAGATCAAAATGGTGTCACAATGGAAAATATTTTCTCACGCTCATTTGATGCTGCAAGCACCAGAGTGTGAGAGAGGAAAAAATGTCATCAGTTTGTAATCAAGTTTTCCTCCAGTCTTGGATGTTATCACATAAAATAGAAAAGTGGACATTTAAGATGCTGAAAGCGTAGAAAAGCAAGCAAGTTTTATTTTTTAGTTTTTGTGCAAATATAGAAATATTTTTAGGTTGTTCAGCCACTGATTTGTCCATGTTTTCACTATCTTTATATATCATTTAAACATTTGTTTAAACATGTACATGATTTGATCATCCATGTATCACTGTGCAGGATGACTGAAAGATGATTATACAGTTCTGCAGCATACCCTGTGATCTTCCCCAGCTGGATCTAGTCATGTGCAACTAGTTTTGCACAATGATTGGTTCTTCTACCCTTCCTGCATCAAGAGGTGCCCATCCAGTTCAATGGGGCCTCAAAGAACATCACTTTGATAATGGAAATGCACACCCAGAATGCTCAACGTACACTTTTATTTATTTATTTACTTAGTTACATCGTTTACAGCCTGCCTTTCTTGTTGAAACTCACAGTGTGATATAGTGCAGTCAAATAATACAAGACATCAAACAAAGCAATGCAGTAGGACTAGGATCACAAAAATTAAAAGCAATGCAAAAAGAAAGGATCAACCATGGTATGTCAAACAGTACAAAAAATGGAATTACAAAAGTAGAAAAGTGCAGTAAGAGCAAGATGATACAAATAATTGAGTGTTCCCTTTATAAAAATGCCCTTTCTTCCTTTATACAACAGCCTTATTCCAGTTTTAGAAATGCCCTATTGAACAATTCTCCTTCCAAAGTCTTAGTTCGGGATTGGGTTTCCCAAAGTCCAGGTGGAGCCTGGAGATCTCCCACTTTTGCAGTTGATCACCAGACTACTGAGATTATTTTCCCTGGAGAAAATGGCCGCTTTGGAGGGTGGACTCTATGGCACTGTACCCTGCTGAGGTCTCTTCCCTCTCCAAACTCCATTGCCCCCAGATTCCACCCCCAAAATCTCCAGGTATTTTCCAACCCAGACC